GTGGAACGGATTTTCCTAACCATCCATGGTCTACCACGCAACTCCCTTCTCCTCCGCACTCGCATCCGATATGAGGGACTTCGAAGTACCAGTCCGTCAAGCATTAGCACTTCCAGTAGCTTACCTCGAAGAAGAACACACGCCATACACATAAATGTTCGGCGCTCCGCGCGGAGCACCAACAACTTACGTTTATGACGTGTTGTGTTGTTTGTGTTGTTGTCTTATGGAACGAATTATCCTAACCATCCATGGATTACTACGCAGCTCCCTTCTCATCCGCACTCGCATCCTGTCTCAGGGACTTTTGAAGTACTGGACCGTCACACATTCTCACTTTGCAGATGCAGTCTTTAGGACGGCGTCCCGAGCGGAATCTAGATCGTTCGCCCTTCTGCGAGAGCCAGCACCATGCAGCGCGGACACGGATACGTGCTTTATTGTGAATGCCTTCTGGCATGTGCCGCCGACCCTGTATGCGGGACCTCCCCAGGGGCCCCCGTTAGCGACCTCCCCCCCGGGACCCGCCTGGACCCCGGGGGGCGGTATTCAAACCCTGGATCACCCTCCCCCACAGACGGTACCTCACCACCTCACCAGGGACACCCCTCCAGGCCCCCCGCGCACACAGGCCTCCCCCCCGTCGTTCCTGTCGTCCACAGAACCAGGGAGAGGAGGGAGGGCCGCCGGGACACCAGGGGGGCGGCAGTCTAACCCGGGACCACCCTCCCCCACCACAGACGGCATTTCGCCCGGGACCACCCCTCCAGCACACCCCCCGCAGACGGGCCCCCCCCCCCCACAGGGGGGGCCGGGGAGGGGAGGGAGGGCCGCCGGGACCCCGCGGGGCGGTTATCTGACCCGGGATTTGTGTCCTTTGGTTGCTACCCCCTTTCCTACCCCGCCCACTGCCCCTCCCCCCGACCCCCACCCCCGTCAGGGAGCGGAAACCTCCCTGACGGAAGGGGGGTTAGGGGGGGGGGGCCTTGTCGGTTGCTGTCCGGCGTGCGCGCTCCTCCCTCCCTCCCTCCCTCCCATCCTCGCTCCTCTCTCCTGGGGGTGATGTGGTGCTCGCTCTGTTTTGGATTCAAAAATCGGCCTGGTGGGCCACATGGGATCGTCGCACTGCGCCCGTGTCCCTTTTTCTCCTCATCCCCCTCCTGCAGCTGCCTCCTGCAGCTGCGCCTCCTTCGTCCTCTGCACGGGTCTCACTCTTACCTCCTGCGTGGCTTGTGCCTGCAGTTGGCTTGCGCGTGCTCTCCCGGATACATACAAAGAAACGAGGTGGTGTTGGCGCGCTGCTGTGGGAGAAAAAAAAGCCAGGCAGGAGGAGAGGGGATGCAATTAACTTAACTACTGCGTTTCTTTGCTCTGTTCGTGTCTAGATGTGTGATTGGGACTGGTGGTGACGACGGCGACGGACAGCGTCTCACACGCGCCGAGGGGTCGGCGGATTTGATCGCCGACCCGTCTCGTCTTCTCCTCGCCATCAGTATTGTTTCACCGATCCCCATCCCCATGCTCATCCCCTTCGAGACCCCCACCAAATTGCACCCCCAGTTGGGGGATGCACCCTTCGAAACCCGAAGGCTGCGGCCTGCATCCCCATCTACAGGGGGGAAATCGGCCAGTAGGGCCCAGCCCACGCTGGTGGGGATGGGGATCGGTGAAACGATACTCACATCGTCATCCTTGCCTTCCTCTCACCGTCACGCGCATCCCCCTTCCCTTCCCCTACAGCTTGCGAGCCGGGCGCACGCGGCAGTGACGAATGAGCTCGGACAGGGCCTGGAGCAGAATCGCCATAGCCTTTTTCTTTCCACCAGTGATCGAGCACGTGTTGCGATGTTGCTGGACAGACTGGGTCCTGACCAATCGCCAGAAGAGAAACGCCACGCCGATGTGAAAGGCTGCAAGCATGGCTGCCGACATGGCCGGTCAAGCCTCGAGCGGGGCCAACATTTTGGGAGACAGTCTCGAGCCAAATGCCGGGCTTCTGGAGCCGACCATGTCCGGATGACCGTATCCTCCCGATGAGCTGCCGAAGTGTCCGAGTGGAGTTCTCACACAAGGTGCGTGAAGACCGTGCCTGGAGGGACGAAAAGATGCCGATGCCGATGCCGCCGCTTCCCAGAGCCCTCCTCGGGGGCGTGCTCTGACCGGAGCTTCGAGGCGGGTCCGGCCGTGGCGACGAGGACTCTCCAGGACGGGCCGCGGCATCGGTGCGTTTTCCCCTTTTGGGTGCCTCCAGAGGCGCTCGCCCGGCGTGGGCCACCGCTCTCCACCCCACGGCGTCTGCCCTTCCATGCCGCCCGGCTCCTTTCGCCTCGGCAGTGGGCCAAGGCCCTCCTCTCCCCTGCCCACCAAGCACGGGCTGCCCCTCCGGAGCGAACAGGCGGCAATCGCCCAGCATGGCTGGCGTTCTCGGGGTCGTCGGTGGCAGCCAGGTCTGTCGCGCCAGATTCGAGGGGCAGCCCGGGCAGCCCAGCTTCGGAGCTGCGGGCAGCGGCCGTGCAGAGGGTCATGCCGGGGTGCCGCGGCCGTCGCTGCCGCGTTCGCCGGTGACGGGGAAGCGTGTCCTCTGACGCCGGGTGCATCCGAGGCCTTCCCTGCGACGAGGGGGGGCAAAGAGCCCAGGGGGCGGGCACCACACGTGTTCGCCCGGGAGCCTCGCCGAAGGCACGGGCCATCGGCGCCCCTGGACATACGGCAGGTTCGCGTCGTGTCGACCGGCGGCGACCCCGCCGCTGGCGTTCAGCGTGGAGTGCCGCTGGCGACCCAGAACTGGTCGATGCTGAACGATCTGACGTTTGGTAGACGGCCGAGCGTCCAGGGCGGAACGAGCCCGTTGGTGTCAGGAACCAGCGCCGTGGTGGACACGACACGAACCTCTGCCGTACGTGCCTTGCTCTCCCCTGGGGTACTCGCCCGATCGAGAACGAAAGGACCCCTAACCATAGTAACACGATGAAGACATGGCCTCACTGAGGTCCCCGTCTTCCCATTCGGGATGGTGCATTTGGGCGGTTTGGTCTGGCACGTCTACAGAAAATTTCAGTCGGGCACGTCACCCTACAGGCGAAAGGTTCGAACGCTGCCAAGAGATAGTCAGGGGGCGATGTTGTTGATATTGGCCTTGCACATCTGCAGAATAGATTCCCTTATCCCTGATGCTGCTGGCCCTCCTAACTAAGGTCCCCTCCCAAAGAGTTAGGGGTCCTTTTGGATAATCATCGCCCCCCTCGCCGCCCCCGAGCTGCGCGAGCTGGCGAGCGGCTAGCGGGTCTCCTGCGCGCGAGGAAGATCTCGGGCACGTTCCTCCTCAAGAGGAAGATCGAACAATGGTCAAACAAATCGCCAGGGGGTTGAACTGTTTTTCATTCTTGTGTGACTATTTCATATTCTTCTTCCAGGATCCGCCTGTAGGAGGACATGCCCAACCTCAGCCTCGTCTGCGAGAGACCTGCGAGGACGTCTCGAGCGGGAGCCCCTCTCCATGTTGTCCATCTGTGGCAGTCCTCGGAAATTGGCGCTACACAAGTCGAGGAAGAAAGAACGCCATAAGCATGAACTGTTGGCGCTCCGCGCGGATTTCTTGGATCTGCGGCGGGCCCTCCCTGCGGCGCCCCCGGCGCCGCCCCCGGCGCGCCCCGCGCGCCAGGGAGGGTGGTCCAGCGCAGATCCTAGAAATCCGCGCGGAGCGCCAACAGTTCATGCTTGTGGCGTTCTTTCTTCTTCTGAATAGATTTGCCAGATGGGCAGGTTGTGAGGATGTCTCGAGTTGGCTCAGGGCGGCTTGCGCCCTCGGCGCATAGAACGGCACCGGGACCCGCCGACTTCTCGCACGGACCCGATTTGGAGCCTGTGCGAACGTTGGCCACAGGGCGACAGACTGCGGTATGGATTGGCCGACGCCAGGCTCTGGTGCGCGATGTCAGCGGTAAGGGCGTTTAGGTCTGTGAGCGGCGTCATGCGCCTGGCGTGCTGGCCTCCCCAGTCTGCCCGCACGGCGACGTCGACGCAGTCCTGGCGCGGGGTCCCCCCAGGCATGCGGCTTGGCCTGGCAGGCCGCCTTCCATCCCATGGATCGGGGGTGGACAGAACCCCTAACAGTGACACGTCGCTTAGTGATTTGTCCGTTTTCGGTTCTCGAGAGGGCGCCGTGGCCGTTATTTTCCAGGCTTGCGCCCGCCAGGTTTGGGCCTCAGGTCGTTTTCACTAAACCATGTTTTACTAAAGGGGAGTCTGTCCATCCCCGAATGGAAAGTGCACTCCTTCGGAGGCTGGCTGGAGGCCGACGTGTCTGGGTACGTACGGCTCACTGTGCCCCGTCGTGCGCGGCGATCCTCTGCCGGGCCGGGCTGTGCTGGGGTTGCCGCAGGCGCGCAGTTCCCAGCCGCGTGCAAGACCCCGAGGTTGTGAAGCGATGGGCGGCGTTAGCCTGCCTTGGTTTTCGGGGAGCGGGTGCGATGCTGTCAGTGTCGATCGCCAGTGGGTGGTCACGTCCTTTGCCCAATGGCGTTGGGAGACTGCGCATTCAGGCCGTGTTGGCGCCGCTCTGTGGTCTGCGATCTGTGCCGCCTTCAGTGATCTCGAGTTAGAGGCTCCGGTTCGCAAGGTCCGAGGGCACGCCAGGGCTGCCGACGAGGATGCGGCCGACGATGCTCGCAGTCTTCGCACTGAAAGCGCGGAGGCGGACAGAGCGACCCAACGTGGCGCGGCCGTGCGACCCGGACATGCGCAGGCCGAGCGTAGGGTGTTGGGCGCTGCTGCCTCGTCACCACAGGATGCCGGCAGGCCTCGTCCGCTTGCTCGGGGGCGTCGGGCTCGGAGGGCGGCCGCAGGCTGTCCGCCTCGTTCCCGCCGCCCCGGGCCTGCTCGGAGGGGCAGGCGGCGACTCGCTGCGGATGCTCGTGTGGGAGAAAAAGCATGCTACCTCGGTCCTCAAGAGAGGTGGTGGGAAAACTGCGCGCCGCCGCGCCGCGCGCTTTCGCGGGGAGGTGCGCCTCGGGATCGTCCCGCCGCCCATGGGGGTGATCTCCGCTGCGCAG